TATATATAGCTCTAGCGGGATTTGAACCTGTCGCTATCAAGGCGAGTGCCATACCTACTAGACCATGGAGACCTATAGAGTATACATGCAGATCTAACCCCCAACACTTTCTTTCATACATCAACTGAGACATGGGGAAAATGGATAAGCTGGACATGTAAGTCGCAGCTTGAAGATCATATTAAATAATATTCAAATTAGGGTTGCTGTGTAGCACTGGAAACACAATAATATTTGTAATTATTAAACCTATTGAATTCTAAAAGCAGTGCTTTTTCAGTGCAGTTCAAAGTACAATATTTAAAATAACCTATTAATAAGCAGAACCCAAATTCCAAGGTTAGTCATACTCTTACAAATTCCAATCAAGATAAACAATAAAAACGATAATCGGCTATATTGTAGTACTTTATTACTAAATGTGTTGGAATGTTGACGGTAATTGCTCAAACAAGAAGCCTTTGTGGTAGCCCTAACAGGGCCTACGTATTGTGGTCTACTCGCCCGAATCGGGTCGATTAGTAAAGTTACTTGGTGACCACGTGAGGGAATATTGGCTCTTCCTTTGCACGCTTCCTACCACGTCATATAGGGCCAGGGCCTATGGGCTTAAGCCCCCCACCGGACAGGTCAAGCCCCCCCCCCGCCGGACAGAGCTCGTCGGGCAGTCAGACCATAAAACATATAAAAATAGTCCCACACCAAGCCAACACATGTCTGTCACAGTCTGAGAGTGCGATTTTCGGCCATCTAGAGGTTGATATTCTTGAAAAAAATTTCATTTGGGAGGGGGAAACCCCCTCTCAACCCCTTCTCCCAACTCTGAGCCTACGAGCTCAAGTCCCCCCTGTCGGACAACTTAGCCCCCCCCCCCTCAGAAAATATATCCTAGAGCCGCCACTGGTCCAAATGTCAAAGTCAAACTTACGATATGAAAATGAAGGAAAAAAAATGAAAGTTTATCAACTCCCCGGAATGTGAAACAAACTGACCAAAATAAATTTAGTTTGTACCAGCCTATATAAAGGCACACATGAAAAAATAGGAACATGTCATCATTTTAATTTCCTACGGTTTGGCTGTATTTTTCATAAGCCACTTGTAAAATTGTCATGTTTTACATTTTAAAAAAAAGTTGTTGATTTTCAATACTGTTTTAATTGGCGGATGGGTGGAGAGACTGTAGCCTCGTATACTGTATCTTTCAAGGAAAATGCAGAAAAAGTCTCTATCTTGCCCACAAGGACACAAACAATGTGACCACTTCTGATCTTGAATGTACGTATCTCAGTTTAATACCCTAGACTTATCACATGACTACTCTAGTTGCTTCTACATTATTATTTCTGTGTCTGTGAAACAATGGTATAAGCTTCTGCATAAAATGGGGAAAAAGTTAAAAACATGAGGTTGCAGACTACAAACAAACAATCAATAATTATTACTGTATTGGCCCGAATCCATACTGTATCTGTCTCTTATACACATCTAGATGTGTATAAGAGACAGCCCTCAGAAAATATATCCTAGAGCCGCCACTGCCTATGAGAAATTAATGCGACATATTATGGGCCATTAACAGCTACAGTGGCATACATGGGGTTATGGAACACAGTGAAGAACGGATGCTGATGTTGATGAATGTTATAATTATGATACTGATGATGGGTGACAATTATAATGAAGATGATAACATTTTGATGATTATGATGATGATGATGATGAGGTTGATAATAAGAATAACGATGATGGTATGATGGTAATAAAATGCCTAATGGTGATAATAGAAGCGATAGTATCGGTAAATAATGATGCATAATAATGACGTATGATGACAGTAATGATTTCATGATAATAATGATGAGAATGATGATGTTCATGATAATAATGATGAGAATGATGATGAGAATGATAGTGGTGGTGGGGATGACGATGAATGAGGAGAATGGTGGTGGTGGTGTTTATGTAATGGTGGTAATCACGATGGAGATGTCGACTATCAAAGTATTGATAGTGCTTTCGTTTTTGTTGGTGACGATGATGTTAATGATGGTGATAATGTTGATGAATAACCCTTATAATGACGACTATAGTATACCGGTACAGTATTTACTTGGTCAAATTATCACTCGTATTTCCTTAGATATTTTCCATTCTATCTTTTTTGCTGTTAACATTCTTCAATGAATATCTCAATTTTTTGAAGAGCACTATTTAGCGTTCTAGAGTTTTCCACTTTTGTAGCAATTACTGTAGCAATAAACATTTGGTAATTTCTGGTGATACGGAACTCACAACTTCTACTTCTTGGCAAATTGTTCCATTAATGTATTTTTAATACTGAATACTGCAGTAATAAAAGTGTATAGGCCTATATATCAAGAATTTGCTTTTCCTTTTCTATCTAACAATTTTTGTTGGATTCCGTCCTCAACATCCATAATGATTAATACCATACATATGTATACTCTACAGGGTAACTAGACTATAGTGTACTGAAAAAGAGAAATGGAGAAAGTTTCCATCGGTGGGGGCGCTATGACCAAAATTTTGTTCTACAATATTTTCTCTCGATTTTACAGCCCTTGCAACATGTTGAACCTTGTATTTCTATCATATTGAGAGACCTGTTGACGTGTTATTATGTTTGCTTTAAGCCATACTAACAATACTGGCTAAAACCCTACAGGTGTAACTATTTTTTTTAAATCACCGATCCTATATGCACACACGCTTATAGATTAAGATTTACCGGCTCACACATGCCATCGGGGACTTTGACTTAGTAAAACAAACCATTATAGGCTATTTTGAGTTGGTTTGAAGTTTTTGACTTATGTTTTTAGCTGACGTTATAAAGCCATGAGCAAAAACTGAATAATCAAACACCGGATGAATTAGAGCAAAATTGAAAAAATTTCAATAATGAAAATTAAAAAGGACAATTGAAAAAAAAGAAAAAGACAAATGACTCTTGTATAACAGAGCGGCTGGATCATTTGTGCAGTTTATTTCAACAATTTTAGGCATCTTCTTGACATATGAAATTGCATTGCCGACGAAAAGTGAGGGGGCCCAGCCCCACCGCTTAAAATTATGTGTCCCTTTTCCCCATGATCTGCGCCCATGGGTGCATAAGAGTCCACACCACCTCAATCCCAACATGGGGCTGAGGTACGAAACTTTTGGTGCCCGGAAATTACACTCTCATACCTTAAATATTTTACAAATAATAATAATAAGTAATATAATACAATTATTTTTCTTAATACAACTAGAGGGAGGGGGGTGCGATCGCACCGTCTGCATCCCCTCCTCCCCCCGCATGCCTCTACACTTACATAGTATTCGAATCCAATGAATCTCTTCAAGACACTAACATTTTAGAAAGCATTATTATTTCTTCCGTTTTTATATAATACTTTCTAATATTTTGTCTTGTAATAACATATGTACAATAAGTCTTGTCTTATTTGTAATTACTTGTTGGCGTAGTCTGTCAGGAAATGTACACAGCAATGTCATTAATTAGCAATCAATATTTATTTTTCAGCTGGTTTCTCTTTCTATAAAAATAGAAATTAGCACATAACAGCCCACACCGGCAAATAAAATTCGTGAAAACGGAGTCTCTGCATTCCATTTTATGTCGCATCATCATTGAATTTCCTTTGTAAGGCAAGAGTAACTTACTTTCTTTGTCTCTCTAACAAACTTATATTTTGCATCAGGCATTCGACGAGTTTAACAGCAGATAGATTCAAGGTAATGGGAGA